CTCATTTTAAAATAAAAATCATTTTTTAGATACTCTACCTTTCATTCAAATATCAATAACACATTTATGAAACAAACTAATATCTGTTACAACAAAAAAGTTTAACAAAAGTGCATGAGAGGTTGAATGATCATTAGATAAGGAAGTTGAGAAAACATAACTATTTTTATATAAATGGACAAAACTTTTCCCTTTGGTAGTTCTCTTTAGATTCAACGAATTGTTCATTATTTTTTATTCCCTAAAACAACTTTTCATATAGCAAAGAGTAAATGACTAAAACAAAAAGGCTAAAAGGCAAAATAGAAAAACAATTTCACTTGAGATTCAATGAATGTTTTATTTAAAAAAAAAAAAAAACCTCTAAAATAGTTATTGACAATGGAACATAAGAGAAACGTAAAGGCTAAGAGAGGTAATATATGATGCTTTTGAAAGTTGTCACTATCATCATTTTGGGTGATTTAACTAAAAATATGTATATTGGGTGAATTAACGTTATATTCCGAAGACATTTGGTTCGTGAATTCTTAAATGTTGGTAAGAAAAGTAATTTAGGAGAAAAGTAATCTTGGAAGAGGAATATGTGATTCCTAGGTTTTATTGACTTAGAAAATATAATATTTTTGTGTTTGGTTCACGAGAATAGAAGATTACCTAATAAAGTTTTTTACTATATTTTCCTTAATAACATGTGACATTCATAATACTAATATGTGAATAACATGTTATTGTCCCTACGTAAAAAAAAAAAATATGCAAATCAACTTTCACAATAAGGTTGACGTTGGGGTTAGAAAAGGGTGATAAATTCCTCTTTTAAGGGCTTCTAAAGATGAAGCCCTCCAGAATAAATTTTATATGTAATGATATTAAGTAAATATATTTTAAAATTTATATATAATAATATTAAATAAAGATATTTTACATTTTATTTTTTATATTTTTAACAAAAATTACATTCTTTTATCTTAGAAATATCATCGCTATTGAATTCTGAAAATTTTATTTTAATGTTTTCAACAAAAATTGTGTTTTAATCTTAAAGACATTGTCTTTTCAACAAAGATCGCATGTTTTTATCTTTAAAATATCGTATTTGTTGAATTCTAAAAAATATTTTTTTATATTTTCAATAAATATTGTATTTTTTATTTTAGAAATGTTGTCTTTTTTGAATTTTGGAAAATAATTTTTTCATATTTTTAATAAAGAGCGCACTTTCTATCTTAAAAACGTCGTTTTTGTTGAATTTTGAAAAATATTTTTTTTCATATTTTCAATAAAGACAAAGTTTTTATTTTAAAAATGTCATCTTTGTTGAATTTTGAAAAATACTTCTTTACGTTTCAACAAAAACTATTTTTTTTTATTTTAAAAACATCTTGTTTGTTGAATTTTAAAAAATAATTTTTCATATTTTCAACAAAGACTACTTTTTTTATCTTAAAAACTGCATCTTTGTTGAATTCTAAAATTCTTTTTCATATTTTCCATTGCATTTTTTATCTTAGAAACATTGTTAAATTCCACAGATTCTAAAATTCCAAATATAAAGTCAAGATCACTTTCCTCTTAAATAATTTTCCCTCCCTTAATTACTACATTTTATCAATTATTACGTTTCCATACTAAGAAACATTGTTGATATTGAAAATATAAATTTTATTTTAGTATTATTTTTTTATGATCAACTACGTTTCATATATTAAAAACGTAATGCTTCTGGAACTATAAAAAATTCAAAATTAAAATTTTTCAACAATCTACTAGTTTTCCTTTTAAAAATGTTGTTTTTATTATAATTAATTTTTTTTTATATTATAACATATAACAATGTTTTTTTTATCATAACAACATTGTGTAAATAAAAATTTTTGAATTTATTTCAATTTTATTGTATACAAAATCAATTATGTTTATAATTATGAAAATGTTGTCTTTCAGAATGAGTCTCGATTTATCATGCAATTACGTTGATTTTTAAGGTAAAATAGACTTTAAAAAAATTTTATTGAAGATAAAAGTGAGACAAATTTTACATTCTGCTAGGAGTCTTAAAAATCCTAAGGGAGAGGTAGATTTCTTATTTAGGGCTATCATTTTCCTTTTTTGAAATTGTTAGGAATCTTAGAGAACCTCAATAATTAAATTTCGTAAACCAAACTAAAAAATCAAATTATGAAAAGTAAGATTCCGACCAATAATCTAATTTTCCCCTGAACCAAACACCATCTCCGTATATTGCTATGGGTTTTGTATATATATTTTTAATTATATTGTTTAAATAATTTTGATTGGAATTAAATATACAAAAAAATATTATTTGTAATTTATAAATTCATGTTATAATTATTATGTTCAAATAACTATTAAAGTAAGAAAAAAGTCATGTAATTATATAGTTCAGTAGAAAATGTAGTATAAATAGTAGTATCTTTAATAATTAAGCTAAAGTTAGTTGTCAAAAGAAGAATAATCATTTTAATAATTTGATATCCAAACCTGCTATTATAAGATAGATTATGGCTGTACATATTTATTCTATATTTGTCAAACTGCAATACAAAAAATAGAAAACTGTATTAGTAAGATTAGATTTCATTTAAAGTATTATATTTTTATTTGTAAAATTTGTGTTAAAAAATGAATGTGTATTATATCATCTTTCATTCGAAGCTAGTTGATAATAGGTTCTTTCCTTGCTTTGTTAATGATAAAAAAAAATCTAATACGATGATCATATATATTTATATTATTTAATAAATATGTTAAACTTAAATTATATTAAATATTTAGTACATTCATTCATAATTAATTGGATTCGTGAATATTATAGATTCATGAATGATTAAGTTCGTGAATAATTAAATTCATTAAATTTGGATTTGATTTATAATTAATAAATAGTAAATATCAATCTAAACTCAAAATTTAAATAATATTAAACATAACGTACATTTATCTATAATTAATTTAGTTTCTGAATAGCATAGATTAATAAATACCTAAGTTTATGAATAATCAAAATACATTCATTCATAGTTTATTAGGTTAATTGATACCTTAAATTCATAAATAATTAAGTTCATAAATATTGAAATATAGTAAATATAAATCTAAACTCAAGTTTTAAATGATATGAACATGTATTTACAATTAATAGAATTCATAAATATAAATAAAGTTGGCATAGAAAGTGGCTTATGCTAAATAAGAAGAGATTTTAATAGTCATAAAGGAAAAGTAAAAACCATACACGTTGATTTAATAAATTAAGGGTAACGAATAGGATTGCAAAGCAAATACATGGTGTTAAAAAAAAAAAAGTTACATCAACTTGCCAAATGTCATAATTTAAAAAAGATTTTATATTTAATGCGTTGTTAGATTTTATACATTATTATTAAATTAGATAATATCATATTATTAATGAGATGAATCAAATGATATTATTTTATTAATAAATAAAATTTTTAAAAATATTAATTTTTTATATATTTATTTTAAAAATTGATATTTATTTATTAATAAAATAATATCATTTAATTCATTAACACTATATAAAATCTATAAACTCATTTTAAAATCCTGGGAATGAAAATAATATAATGTTAAATGGTAGATATGATTAAGTAAACTTAAGCTGCAAACTACCTACCCTAACAAACACACTTTGACATTTCCCAACAATAAAGCTTCCTGTTTTCCAATGCTTTGGAGTTTAATAGACGGTTTCTTTTCCATGTTGATTTTGGTGATCTGTTTGATATTTTTACTCACAATCAAGCAATAAATTAATTCTCCGTCTCATTATCTTAAGCATTAGTTTAGTTGTTGTTATTTTAGTAAGTTATCTCATTTAGATATTCTTCTCATTTGTGTTTAGTTTCTCTGATCTAATTGGTAATAATTTTTTCTTTTTCTTTTTTTATTTTATTTTTTACAAAAGAAACGGTAATGGAGAATAAATAAGAAAAAAATTATAAATTTTAAAATTTAAATGCATATCTATTAGATATTATTTTTTAAAAATAACATATAAATTAATTGAATTAAATTTTAAATTTTAAAATTTTTTTTATTAAACTATTCTATCTTTCATGTATATATATATATATATATGTATGTATATTTGAAAATCCTTTCGTATATATTTTTCATATTATGATCAATTAGAGTTTTATCTTCAATAAATTTATTAATAGAGTTAAAAATATAAAGATTTTGAGTGCTATTAGAATACTATTTATTAAAGATATTATATTACAATTTATTTTTTAATTTATCAAAATTCATAATATTAATTTACTTATATTAATAAAGAATATTACTATAGATAATATCTTAATTGATGCTAAAAAATTTAATACACTCTACAATAATTCATTTAATATAAGGATTTTAAAATATTTTAAAAAATAAAATATTAATTAATAATATGTGATTTATTGATAAAAATATTAAAATTTTAATTTCAATTATTAGAATTTAAAATTTTAATAGTTTTAAATATAAAAAAATTAATTAACACAGTAAATAATTAAGTTTTAAAAGAAGTACTAGTATAATTGATTAATTAATTAAGATAAAACATAATTAATTAATTAACCACATAAAAGTAGACTTGTATATTAACTTTATAGCATCCCATTAAAATGGATCTACAATAGATAGCTTCTTAATTCTTATACTATACATGTTGCATGGAATTTTATTTAACCAAAAACAAAATTAATTCAATTAAATTTGCAAGTGCTATTTTTATAATATTTTTATTTTATAAAAATTATGAAGTTAAAATCAAAGATAAAAAGGGGAGGAGGGGAGCCCCAAGGTGAGGGATCATCGAATCAATCGAGCCCATCCCACGTGCAATAAAACTGCGACAAGTGCCAGATAACGAGGGTTATTGTAAATAAGAACATGACCAAATCGCCCCTCTCCCTTAACGGCCAAACCAGAAAAGGCTGGCTCTTTATAAAACACACAGCTCGTTTTTGTCCTACGCTCTCTGCCGCATAAGAAGTATCGACGTAAATCCACCCTCTCTCCTTTTAAAGTATAGAAAAAAAAAAAAAAACGAGAAAAACAAAATCAGTAAAACCAAACAAGGCCTTGGATTGGCGATCTCCACGAAGCTCTCTCTTTCTCTTTCCTTGAGAATTAATAATCGCATTTCTCTTCTTCAACCTTTTCAATATTTCCTCTCGCTTCCTCTTTCTCGGATCTTATTTCTCTCTCGAAAGATCTCCGTTTCTCTGGTAAATTTCCGACTAATTTCCGCTTCTTTTTTTTTTTTTTTTTAAATTTTAAAGCTACTTCGATGCATGCTGATTCTTATATTTGATTGTTCCTTCTCCTTTTTCATTTCTTTTTCTTTTTTAATTTTAAACATGTTCTGCTTGTTTGCTTAGAAAATGGAGGGGAAAATGAGGTTTAAAGTTTTTATTTTTTTTTTTAGTTTAAAATGTGCATATTCAGATAAAATATCTGTAATCTAAGTATTCAGAAGAATTAATTGGGAGATTTTTTTTTTCAATGAAAAATCATAGATCAAAATGTTAGTTTGTGTACTCAGAGGAAAGCTACAACAGGATCTTTCCTTATTAATTTAATCTTTTTCTTTCTTTTTCCCTTGGGTCTCTTGCTTAGAATTACTGTTTAATTTATTTGAAGAAAATCGTTTTTTTTTCCCAAACATTAGACTGACATTTGGAGATTTAACTGGTTGGATTTTGATTATAGAAGTTTGGAGATTCAAAGTTTGGAGTGGGAGATGGCTTCGATATCGTATTCTGCAGCTGCATTTACTGGAACTTCAGCCTCCGATCTTCTTCGGAGCTCCAGTAACGGCTTGAGTGGCATCCCTCTTAAAACCCTAGGGAAGGCGCGATTTTCCTTGAAAAGGAGGGATGTAACTGTAGCTGCAAAGCTGAGGAAAGTGAAGAAGTATGAACACCCGTGGCCTGCAGATCCCGATCCTAATGTGAAAGGCGGAATCCTAACTCATCTCTCCCAATTCAAGCCATTGAAAGAAAAGCAAAAGCCTGTTACTTTGAATTTTGAGAGACCCCTTGTTGATTTAGAGAAGAAGATTATTGACGTAACTCCTTATTTTTTCTGATTGTTGATTTTAGTTGATGATAATATGCTTGTGCTTGCTTTAAATGTTGTGCTTGTTTTGAATGCAGGTGAGGAGGATGGCAAACGAAACTGGTTTGGATTTCAGTGATCAGATTTTATTACTGGAGAATAAATATCAAAAGGTTTGAGTATTAACTTTGAGAATGTGAAAGTGTTTTTATTGCTTCTATGTAGTGATAAAATTTTTTAGTTATATGTTTATGTAAGTCTCTGAACCAATGTCTATTCAGCCTGTTAACGAGAGTGAAGTTGAAGTACGGAATTTTTTTACGTGGGTTAAATTTAATTATGCCAAAGCTGTATTCTAAGCCTGGAAATTTTATTCTTCATATTGGGCAACCAAAGCTTTTGCTGTTGCACTTGCTATGGCATTCATTATTGGTTATTAAGAATTTGATTATAGTACTTGATTTTAGTTTGGATTCATTCACTTATTGCAAAGGATGATTAATAATGGAACAAAAAATTGCATCCTTGCTTGAAATTCTATAGTATTAAACTCCAAATTCTATAATTCTTCTTTATATAGAACTCTATGCTGTAAGCATGACATGTTACTTTTATCTTTTGAAGCTCAATAAGGCTGAGCTTATTTCAAAGTTTTGAAAAAGACTTGTCTGCTGTTTCATGTGCTTTTAATTGCCCAAATTTTAACTTCCCATGAAATCTAATCACAATAACGTTCTTTCGTAGGATATGATGGTTTTTCATTGCTCTTTTGTCATTTATCAATGTGTAAAGCAGAAATTTCACTTGTTACAGATATGTGTAAGAAAAAATAATGTAATATGCAATTGTGCATAAAGCTTGCTGTTTGTGATGTCCTAGTATGTGTGCCTAAGCTTTGTGTTAATTATCAAATTTTAATTGCATTTTAAGATGTTGATGATCTGTCAAAGATATTGACATTTCATCATGTTGGTGGTTTTCAGTAAATTTTTCTCACCCTTTCTGTTATTTATTTCAGGCTCTAAATTACTTATATAAACATCTGACCCCAATACAACGTGTGAATATTGCCCGGCACCCCAACAGACCTACATTCCTGGATCATGTATTTAGCATTACCGATAAGGTTCGGTGGTTACATGCTCTTCAACTTTCAGATATTAAACATTGCATATGCTAAACAACATTATCTTAAATATCCGGTGTTTAGAAGGTGAAGAATTGTCTTAATAAATGTCTTTTGTATATTCCCATATGCCCAGTTTGTGGAACTTCATGGAGATCGAGCAGGATATGACGATCCAGCTGTTGTTACTGGTATAGGAACCATAGATGGTAGGACGTACATGTTTATGGGTCACCAAAAGGGTAGAAATGCTAAAGAGAATATTCAACGTAACTTTGGAATGCCAACGCCCCATGGGTAAGTTGAATGAAACTTACATATTGAATGGAATCTATGCCACTTTTAACTTATATTTGGGAAATGCTTACAGTTACAGGAAGGCTCTACGCATGATGTATTATGCAGATCATCATGGGTTCCCTATAGTTACGTTCATTGACACTCCTGGGGCATATGCAGACCTTAAATCTGAGGAGCTGGGTCAAGTATGAGGACTATTGTATTCTGAAGCTTACCAAATTCACTTTTGATGTTAGCTCAACTGATTTATATGCGTTCCATTCCTGTAGGGTGAAGCCATTGCCCATAATTTGAGGACCATGTTTGGTCTGAAGGTCCCAATTGTTGCTATTGTTATTGGGGAAGGTGGCTCTGGTGGTGCCTTGGCCATTGGCTGTGCTAATAAGTTGTTAATGCTGGAAAATGCTGTCTTTTATGTTGCCAGGTGATTTGAGTTTTTCAATATTGTTTTTAGTAATTAACAATATACTATCTGGGCCTTCCATGCCAATACAATTTGTGGAATTCCTATTTCACAAGTCTTTTTCTTCATGGTATCTGGGTAAGATTGTCTATAATATTGTCTATTATATAGTATATGTATAATATTTAGATGCTATTTCTACATATGCTGATATTTCTTTTTCTCTGATTTGATTTTTTTTAATGGTACAGTCCGGAAGCATGTGCTGCAATTTTGTGGAAGAGTGCCAAAGCAGCTCCAAAGGTTTGAAAACATATTTCACTTTTGGGCCTATCATTTAGTACTGATTTGGTTTGATGATAGAATATTCAAGGTTTTCATATATGCAGGCAGCCAAGCAGCTGAAGATTACTGCCCCAGAGTTGTCCAAGCTGCGAATTTGTGATGGAATCATTCCTGTAATTAACATTGTTTCTCTCATATCTTCAGTGAATTAGTGTTCTGCCTGTGCCTTCTTTTTCTCTGTTTTTTCTCCTTTTCTAGTTCTATGCACTAAAACTAATAACTTAAAGCTACTACAGGCAATTCCATGTAGCAAAGTTGACTGCTAAAGGCACCATTTTGCTACCGTCCTTAGCATATTTTTTATATACAAAAGCCTTTTACAACATAGAAGTGTGATTTTTTATTTCATATCTCTGTTTGATGTTTGATGAAAATGCTGAATTTGGTTTTTAAAGTATTTGCATTTGTTCAGCTTTAACGGTTGAATATTGCTCCAGATTTGTTCTTTCCTTTTGCAAGTTCATGTTAATCTCTATGGCATCTGATACTTATTTTTACTTTTGATAGGAGCCACTGGGTGGTGCCCATGCAAATCCAGCTTGGACTTCACAACAAATAAAAGCTGCAATTAATGAAGCAATGGATGTGAGTTCCACTAGCAGTAGTTCTTCATCAAGAATCACATGGCAATATATTAACATAAGTTTATTCTGCAGGAGCTCACTGCAATGGACACAGAAGAGCTACTCAAGCATCGCATGCTTAAGTTCAGGAAACTGGGTGGGTTCCGAGACAGTGTCCCAGTAGATCCCAGGAAGAAGGTCAATATGAAAAAGAAAGAAAACCATACTGTTTCAAATGCGGAGTTGGAGGGTGAGGTTGAAAAACTGAAACAGCAAATCTTGAAAGCCAAGGATTCATCCACTAATCCTCCTAAGTTGGCTCTGAAGGACATGATACAAAAATTGAAAAAGGAGGTTGATCATGAATACTCTGAGGCCATTAAAGCCTTGGGCATGAAGGGCAGGCTTGATATGCTGACAGAGGAAGTTTCAAAAGTAAATTCAAAGGACAAACTCATGAATCCTATTATAACTAATAAGATTGAGAAGCTTAAACATGAGTTCAACCAGAGTCTATCAGCAGCTCCAAATTACCCAACCCTCAAATATAAGCTTGACATGTTGAAGGAGCTTTCTAAAGCCAAGAGTCTCTCAGAAGCTGCTACATTGAAGCAGGAAGTTAATAAGAAATTCAATGAAGTCATGGGTCGGCCTAAGATAAATGAGAAGCTTGAAGCATTAAAGGCTGAGGTTCAAAATTCTGGTTTATCCAGCGTTGTGGATTTAGATCAAGGGCTGAAGGACAAAATTCTGAATACGAAGAAAGAGATAGAATTGGAATTGATTAGTTCTCTCAAATCCTTGGGTTTGGATGTTGAGGTTGTAAAATCTAATTCCAAAGTTCTAAGTGAACAAACTTCACTGTCAGTTTTTAACAATAAGGTGGATAATTTGAATGAAGAAATTAACAAGAAAATTGAAAATGTTGTCAGTTCATCGAAGTTGAAAAATATGATTGAGTCGCTGAAGCTGGAGATAGCAAAGGCAGGAAAAAAACCTGATATTGAGACAAAAAGTAAGATTAAAGCTCTAGCACAACAGATTAAGAAAAGACTTTCCAAAGCTATCAGCTCATCAGAATTAAAGGGGAAGCATGAAGAGTTGAAGGCAGAGATTTCTGAAGCCATACAATCGTCTGCTGGAGCTGATGGAAGTGTGCAAAAGGAAACCAAGTACGAGGAACCTAGACTAGAGATCAATTTGGGTGCAAACCGCAGCTTTGCTTAGTGTATGTAGCTCTTAGCATTATACATTATCCGGTTCTTTTTTTGCTTTAGATATCTGATGAATAATAGAGATTTCTGACATTACTTTTTTTTCTTGATGCTTAAGGATGTATACCATTTAGAACAAGGGCCTGGAATAAAGATAACTAGGTTACCATCAAATGCCATTTAGTATTTCTTTTCTGTAACAATTAGGAAAAAATATGGCAGATTTCTATAAATTTCTAAATTCATTGGCATTTTTGTTGTTCCTTTTATAATTCATAGCGGCTAATTATTACAACTATTAAGCATAAATGGACATCCTTTTGATTAGAGAGTGGTTACACAAATTCATATGTTTCGGTATAAAATCTTAAATTTGCTAGTTCATTTGATTGGTACGATTGACTTATATTTTGTGTAATTTCTTGTTACTGTACAGGATCTTGATTCTGTCAGAATGTTACTGACATAATGGTGTAGCTAGGGATGGTGTTTGAAGTTTGACTGAAGAATTAGAATTGCGTCAAGCTCTTCCAGAGGAATTATTTCACCTTGAGCCTTGCAAGTGCCGCCGAGTCCTCCACTGTCACCTGCAGGCCAGAGGGCACAAGATTTTGCATCTATGAAGACATTCATTAGCTTTTGCCAATAATTATTGCCCTTTCTTCCTTTTTTTAAGCTGAATTTCTCCACTTTGAATTAGGTTAAAAATTTTCCGCTTGCGTGTTGCTTTCATTTCTAATATTTATTGGTAGCATGTGTTTTTTCTTTAGTCTTAACCCATAGACAAAGAACGCTATGTAGCTTGTGTGATTGCCTGGGGAAGCCAATGGCATGCTTCCATCTGTCAGAAATAACACACTCATGTCTTTTTTACCCCTGATGTTCGTGTCCCCTGTTTTGACCTGCGAATTGAAAGTACTTGTTGTCATTAGCAAAAATTATGAAGACCAAGTTTAACGGGTAGAAGAAGAAAATTTTCGTCCTATCATAAAGTGCCATATGTTTAGTAAATTTTTTTTAAGTGACAAATCAATTATTGATGTGTGGATTAATAATATTATTTTATTTAATTATATAATTAATTAATTAATTTTTTGATTAATTAAATATATCGCTTGTCAATTAAAGATAAAATATTTGGTTTGACCAATCACCAAGGAGTCGTTAGTTTTTATCTCTAGTTAAACTTATAGTTATTTAGAGTTAAAATCATAGAGGTTGTGTTCTCTTAAAACTCTTTTATCTACTGGGCGTTATAAATATAATGTTTTTTTTAGCCCTAATTCACAATTCACAATTTTGAAGAGAAGAAGATTTTGAAAACACTAAAACCTCTCCAAAATCTCAAGAAAGCAAGCTTTGAAGAATTGAAGAAATTTGAAGAACTCAAATAACAAAGCATTTAGGTTTAAAGAATTGTAAAATATTGCTTTCTAATCTTATTCCTCTAAAAGAAGAAGATCAATTTTGTTTGTTCAAGATTAAGTTTATCTAACCCTTGAAGCGGATTTCGCATTCAAGATTAAGTTAACAAGACCCTTGAAGCATTCAAGAATAAGAATGAGATGATTTTCTTTGTAATAAGAATTCCCTAATATTGTAGTTTTCACAAGTCTACTAAATAAATTTATTATTTGTCTCTAATTTTCTTTGTCATATTTTTTACATGAAATTTATGTATACAAATTTTTGGCACACCCAGTGGGGCAGTCTCTACCACGCGTCTCTTTTCTTCAAAGTTCAAGTGGTTAAACTATAATGGACTCCAAAAAAAAACCTGCTAATAAGCTAGCTCTTAAGCTTGCTCAAGCAAATCCTGCAGTCTTCCCTAGTTTATTACCAAACACCGATGATGCTATCCATTAATATGGCATTAGAAGCAAGATAAAAGCTTTTGAAGAAATCTATGCTCAAACTCTTCTAATGCTTAACCAAAACCCACTCTATAACATTCTTTTTTAAGGATTAGAAGAATCTTCTATTGGGAAGCCTACTTCACCTCATGGATCAAGTATAAGCAACCTTCAAAAACAAATTCTAGAGTAATAAATGTCATGACAACTGGCACCACATCACTGGAAGAATAAGTTGCACTTTTTTAAAAAGGTATGGAAACTCTTACAACAAGCATTAGAGAAAAAGATAACTAGATTGCTGCTATGATGAAGAAGATTAGCAATCTCACTGGAAAACGACCATCGACTTCAGACCAATATCATAATTCAATCCTTCAAAGGATGGTGAGAATTCCAACATGATAGTTGCCAATGATTCTTAACAAAAGCTTAATGAAATTTGTCAAGTCCATTCAACTAAAAGATCTTATTAAAGAAGCAATCAAAGATTAAGTTAAGATTGTCATACAACCTTTATACACATATGCTAAGCCATATTCTCAAAGGATTGATTGTTTGAGGATGACTGAGAATTACCAGCCTCTAAAATTCAATAATTTGATGGCAAATGAAACCCATGTCAACATATTGCCCTTTTGTGGAAACTTGCAATAATGTTGGCATTGATAGTGATATTTTAGTGAAGCAATTTGTTCGCTTTTTGAAAGGCAATGCCTTTTTTTGGTATATCAATCTTGATCCTAGCATAATTTATAGCTGGGAACAACTTAAGCATGAATTTCTCAATCGATTCTATAGCACTCGTCGCATAGTCAGCATGATCGAACTCACAAGTTCATGCTAATGGAAAGATAAACCAATGATTAATTACATTCATAGATGGAGAAATTTAAGCCTTAATTGTAAAAAAAGACTATATGAGTCCTCTGCTCTCAACATATGCATACAAGGCATGACTTGGGGATTGTGCTATATTCTCCAAGGTATTTAGCCTAAGACCTTCGAAAAATTGGCTACTCGTGCACATGATAAGAAGTTAAGTATGGTAGCTGTTGGAAAGCAAGAGCCTCCTATGTAAAAGCTTAAGAAAGGTAAAGAAAAGCAAGATACTTACAAAAAGGGTAAAACTTTTATTGATAAAGGAGAAAGCAAATAGTCTATGACTGTGAATGCCAAGTCTTTGAAGATAGCCTCTAAATCAAAGAAATCTTAAGAGGAAAAATCTACTTCATTTCAAGACAAAGGTAAAAGTAGAATTTCATTGGGGGAAATACAAGAGAAGAAGTATCTTTTCCTTGATTTAGATTTTCAAGCATACTAGATGAACTTTTGAAGTTTAAGCTTATCTAGTTGCTAAAAATAAAGCGACTTGAAGAAGCTGATAAAATAGATAACCCCAACTACTGTAAGTATCACCGTTTGGTTAGTCATCCATTGGAAAAATATTTTGTTTTAAAAGACAATCATGCTACTTAATGATGATAGAAAAATTGAATTTGAAAAACAAGTTGTGACATCAAACTTGGCATTAAGATGTACAGCTTCTTAATTCAACTTTTTGGGCAAGAGTATCAAATTTGGTTCTTTTGACCTTATCTTACTGCCTTCTAGTAAAAATCAAATTGGTTTTGACCCTAATTAGTCTTGAAAAGAATAGGGCAATGCCATTCTAAAATCAAAGATTAAGATAGTGATGGTTGGACTTTAGTTACATGTCAAAGAGGTCAAAAGAAAAATCTATAGAAGCCTATTCAAGTGACAACAAAAAGCTAAAATGGTCAAGCAACTAGCCGACACTAAAGGTGATCCAAACAAAAGCAATTCCATCTAAGCATGAAAACTCAAGGCTAAGGAAGTCAAGAAAACCAATTACTTTGAACGAATACAAGCTAATTCAATTCAGAAGAGAAAATTTGGTTTCCATGACTTGTTACCATGTTGGTGAGGAGTGGAAAATGATGACAACAACATTGGCAAGAAAGCATTTGAAGTTGGTCATTATTGTGCTACAAATATCCATTTTTCTGATGAAGATATGTTGTTATGATCTATTCCTCATAATTGACCACCGTATGTAGACACCCAATTTTTGATAAGGTTAAAAATTAATTAAATAAAAATAAAACTAAAAACAGAGTTTTAATCCCGTTAGAACTTTAAGATTGAGGTTTAAATTTTGAAGCTGTGATAAAGGGATTTCTTTTTTAAACAGGGATAAACGGATTAAAAGATAGGGGAAGTTTGATTTTCAAATCTCATTTAACCTTACACCCATTGCTATATAAACTCCAACAATCACAAGAATAAACACACAAAAAGAAGCAAAAAAACGAGAGTAATCAGAATAAAAGTTTTTTAGTAAAAGGTTCTTGGGGGAAGCAATTCAAGAGGGGAAAAATCATAAAATACTTTTTTATTTCATTGTTTTGGTTGTGGGTTTTATATTTTTCTAGGGCATTCTAGACTAAGGGAGGATAGGAAAATGAACATCAACCACCACCATAATAGAAAACAACATCCTAATAACCTAGTAGACAGTCCCCAAACCCAGCAATAAAAATCTCTAGTTTGGTAGCCACCAGTCCCCAACACCAGGTTTTTCATTATATCCATATTCAATAATTCATTCAACAATTCGCAATACCAGATGATTCCATCAACAAACAGTCAAAAGTAAAACAGCTAAAGAGGATAATCAATAGCCATAATATTTCACAGCAAAAGACAATTGACTTAAGGAAACAAGACAAAGAAGGACATACAGAAAGCAATACAATAATTTTCAGAGGAAATTTGTAGATATACGGTTGTGAAGTGAGTTTTGAAGAAACCAATTAGTAAAAGATACAAAGGGAAGCGACGAGGAATATTTTAAGGAAATTTTGGACAAGATTACTGCTAGCAAGTGGTGGATGGCAGGTAGCGACGACGACATCGAAACTCTATCGATTTTTTAAGACTTCAAAGTTTCCTGTGATGTTCATCAGTTGGTTTAAAAAAAAGCTGGGGGAGCTGAAGAGATCTGTAAAATGAAAAGGAAGGCTTAAAAAAAAGGGGGAGTTTTATAGGATTATAAAACAGTGTCATTTTGGCCAAAGAAACCAGGTTCCCTTTGACCTTTTTCGAAGACCCGTGCGTCAACCATTGGGTGACCTGATCCTGACGTTCAACTCGACCCAAGCCAACTCCTAGCCACTCTAGCAGCCAATCGAGCCGCTCAGCTTTTAAGTTGTTCTTGAGTGTAGAGCCAAGCTATCTTTCTTGAGCTAAGCCGTGAACTTTGGTGTATATATATATATATATATTTGCCTGGCTACTTATTTTCTTTTTCTTGAATAATCTTTATTCTAAAAAAAATAACAAAAAAAATAATTTCAAACTTTCAAGAAAAGCTAAAAAATTAATTTTTCTTAAAAATAAAAATTTCAAAAAAAATATTTTGAGAAAAAGTTGAAAGTATCAATTTTTCTTGAAGATCAAATTTAAAAATAAAACTTTAAGGAAAAGTTGAAAGTATTAATTTTCCTTGAAGATCAAATTTCAATAAAAAAATACTTTAAGCAAATTTCAAGAAAAAAATACTTTAAGGAAAAGTTGAAATTATCAATTTTTCTTAAAAATAAAAGTTTTCGAATACTTTAAGGAGAAGTTGAAAGTATCAATTTTCCTTATATAAAGGCATGAATTTTTTTTAAAATAAAACAAAATAGTGAAAGAGATTTTTATCAAAGGTAGAAGCATCATATATTTTTTTTTTCTTTTTTTTGGAATTTTTTTGTTAAATAATCCAACGACGGAGCCTCTGCAAGAGAAACAGTACCTCTGTAAGAGAAACAGTAGTTTTTTTACATACTCTTAAGGTGAATGAATGTTCTTAATTTTTGCCAAAAGTATTGGAGTCAATTAGGAATAATTTCTAATAATTAATTACTCGGTAAAATTTTTAAGGTTTAATGGATAAAACGAAATCGAGCTGATACCATCTTTCGATGGGCGTTATGGGGGTGCTATAACCGT